CACAAAACCTCTGTGACGCACAAGTCTCTCTCCTTTCTCATTGTAAAGGAGCTTCTAAGGATGGCAATTTAACTGCAATTAAGTTATGTGCCTCAGACAGTCCTTCATGCCCTGCAGAAGGCCTGTCCCTCTGATACATCCTTTAATATTAAAGGCAAAAGCCATTAATATTATGGTCAAGCAGCCAAATATGAAGAAAAATAAACAAGCAAGAGACTTTTGGAGCCAGAAAGACAGACAAGTCCTCTCTGCCCTCCACCCAAGCGCTGCAGCATCTGCAGCTTTTTGGAAGCCACGTGGGCACAGCAGCTACCAGAGCCAGGGGACAATTCCAGCAGGATTCACCACAGCCTTGGTGCGCTCCGGTACAGAGCACCCCTTGGTTTTCCATATGGGAAAACGATGAGCTGCTTTGTGTTCACTTACCCCAATTACAGTAGCTCCAGCAACATCTTCCATGAGGGAAGATGACACCGAGAAGAACACAGTAGCCACCTCCTGCTGTAACGTTTCATGTAGTGTCTTGTTTGACCTATTCCCTTGAGTTCTTGCAGCCATACCATGAAAGAAAAAGGGAATGGGATTAAGAAAAACCAACAATTCCAGCTTTTGCATCAAGTGCTGCAAACTGTATCCTCAAAAGCTCTCCAGCAGCAGACAGTGCACTGTAAAATGAAGCAGTGCAATAGCCAAGAGAGGGTTTTCGGATGATATTTGAAAATGTCAAGGGGGTTCAAGGAGGAAACAACAGGAGAAGAAACAGGAGATCAGTGGCAGAGTTGTTTAAAAGTTTGTTTATATAAGAAAATGTAATAGCTCTCTGGGGGCACCTTACCCTAGGATAAATGTGATTTTATTCCTGAATTATGATTCACTTTGGAAGTGCATTAGCTGCCCTGGTACAAATAATAATAATTTCTGCTGGAATGCCTCTCGCAGAGAGCTTGTCCTTACAACAGACCCCTGCTCTGCTGCCCATGCTCCGTGCCCACATCCCTAATGGAAAGGGCAGGGAATAAATCGCAGATGGAGGTTTCGGGAGGTCACCTGCAACAAGCTCAGGAAGTCCGTTTGCTTCCAAACAAAAGGGCAATTTTGTTGTTCAAATCTAATACAACGTCGATACACGGGAGGGAAGCAGCAGGGGGAAAGGCAGGATCCTTCGTATCCCACCTGAGCAGAGGCACCGCTCTGCTAACGGCACAATCCAGGCAAGCCGGACTTGCAGGATGCAAAAAGGGACACTGAAGGAGGAGGAATTCCCACTAAATCTTTTCAAGGATCTCTAGTTTCCTTAAATAGCTCCCATTATACCCAAACTGGGACTGCTTTTTACTATTATTTTACTGAATTTAGAAATAGTTTGCAAAAATGGAGACAAACAAAAAAAAAGAGCTAAAATCAGCAATAAAGATTAGGCCCTTTACCCAGCCTATGGTCCGGTTTTAGGTATCCTTTTGTGCACTGGCAGTTTTTTGGCTTTTTGACAGCCTCCTGTTTCAAAAGGAAATGTTCAAAATGGCAGGAGGATGAGGAAGAAAAGAACATTTGAGGATGCAGACGTCTGCAGCTTGCAAAGCGACGGTGGCACCATTACACCTATCATACCCATGCCCTGTGAGGCAGGAACACGTCCAGGCTTCATCTGGGAAGAACCTATCCCGGTTCCTGGGGATTGGAGTGGGCAGAAGCTCCCCCGGGAGCTCCAATTCCCATGGGATGAAGATCTTCTCGGCCTCGTGTCCCTCAGGGCACTGAATTAACACGCTCCTCTCCAAAGCCCAGTCCAGCCGCAGCACTTCTCATCCTGGACAATCTACGGCACCTTGGCAGAGCTGACGGCAAGCTGGAAAATTGGGGATTTACACCCAGGACAACATTCCACCCCAGTCTGCAGGATTTTAAGTTCCCAAAGTTCCTCCCACCTTGAGAATTCCCTCTCCAAGGGCTCACATCAGCCGTCTCCATGAGCCACCTGCTCCCCTGCATCACCCCGGGACACAGGAGCTTCCCGATCCAAGGGTCTTGGATCCCGGCACAGCCCAAGGGGCAGCTCCATCCTCCTGTCACCAGGCAGGAGCTGCCACTTCCCTGGAAGATGCTGTCCCCACAGCGCCCGGACACCAGCTCAACGTCCCGACCTCCCAGTTCCCAGCCTCCTTTGCCCCCAGTCTGGCATTTTTCTGCTTCTGGGTTTTAAATCACGCTCCATTTTTGCCAAAATAAGGCATTTTCCTGCCCTCGGAGACCTCTTGTCGCCCTCTGGCAGCAGGGCCCAGTGTCCCCCCGGCTCGAGGAGGTGGCAGTCGGTGGCATCGGGGCCGGCAGTCCCCGTCCTGCCTTTCAAAGGAGCCACTTTTCCTCCTCTCCTCTCGCTCTGAGCCCAAGCCAGCTGGACAGCAGTTAAAAGACTCTCCTTCAGCATCGCCTCCTATTTGGATACTCCAGCCCAAAACAAATAGAAACATTTAAAATTAAAATAGAAGAAAAAGCCTATAAAGGAATAAATTGTTCCTCGCAGGCCTAGGAGAGATGACTCTTTCTCCCGAGCACCCCAGATCTTCCTTGAGCCGCGTTCCCAGCCAAGGGCTGGGCAGATTTGTGGGACTGGACGAGCCGCAGGGTCACGCTGGCCCCAGCGGGGCCCTCCTGTCGCGCTCGGCTCCCCCAGGCTCTGCAGGAACATTAATTAATTAGCACAGAGAAGCCCCTGTGAGCATCAGACCTCTTTGAGGCACCTGGAAATAACCCCCATGTGCAAATCTGTGTGGAAAAGGGGTTTTAAGGTCAGCCCTGACACCCACCCGCTCACAATCGGCAGCCGAATTCCCGAGGTTCCAGGTACTCTCAGCCCATATCTAGTGTCACTGGAATTCTTTGGAGGATAGAGAGAAATTGGTTAATCCCCCCCCTTTTCCATCTCCCGACGTTTATTTGCAGCGCAAGCACCTAGCCCCAGCACCCGCTTCTCCACGGAATTGAAAGTCACAGTGTATGCACAATAATAATATGGTTTTGACCACCCAGTGACCCATTTCAGAGGATCTAATGAAAAATGCAACCACGGCTGAATGAATTGCATTGCTGGGTTGCTTTGATTCTCTTCTCCCGCCCCTTTACATGAAGAATCTAATTTCCTGTTTAATATATTTGATGCCACAACTAAGAGATGAAATTGAGGCGACGCCTCTTATACTCCCACCTTTTTTCTCTCACCCTTTTTCCCCCAGAAGCACCTGCCCCATTCTCTTGCCAGGCCACTACTACGTGCCTGGAGTTACCTGCTTGTGACAGCGTAACCCTGAAACTCCAAACCTGGGGAACTGCAGGGCTGGAAATGGCCTCACCTCGAAAATCGAGAGGCAATTCCACCCAAGCACAGCATGCAGCAAGTGCAAGCTGCGCTCTGCTCGCATTCACCTCATCGCCTTGGCCAAGTCAGTGTCTAGAGAGCAGCAAAGAAACCTGCAGCTGGGCTGGGAGCTGCTGAGCTCCCCACACACACCCAGGAGGAGCGTTGCTGCTGGGGTCAGTGCATGAGCAGAAAAACATCCCTCTTTCTGTCCCCCTTTCCTTTGCCTCTCCCTTATGCGGTGGGAGATGGCAAAGCAGCCGTGCGGAGGAAGGGTTAAACGGGCACAACCGGATTGCTTTTGGCAGAGCCCTTGCGCTT